ACAAATCCAATTCATTTTTCATTTCTTACACTTGACGTCCCACTGGGCGTGCCAAAAATTGTTGGCTTATTTTTCCTACGAAGGAAAATATCATAAATATGAGCATGCTAGCAAAGATTGAAAAATCCTTACAGATTAAATTCAAGCCAATTATCAAGCGATTGCTTCGAAATGGAAATACTGAAAATAAATGTTTCGAAATATAAATCTATGTTAAACTACTCCTAAGATAAGGAAAGTGACAAGAAATATTAAAATCAATTGTCTTTGATTTCAGTTCTGGGATCTTACAATGAAACCATTAATGGCTATTTATAGAGGAAAAAATACAGCAATAACTACTCAGTAACTACCCATTTCTTCCATCTTCATTCTTGTCTTGCCATGTGTCCTTCCACTCATCCACTTTGTCCTTCATATTCTCCATCATCTCTATAACTTCTTTTAACTTCCAAATGAATAAGAGGATGCCACGTGTCTTGAAAATAATAATAATAATAATATTTTATGGTGCCAACATTACCCCCTACGGCTCTTAAAAATGATGTTTACTTGAATTTTTGAAGGGCCGAACCAAGCACATGACTAATCTAAGCAAATAAATGCTTCGAATAATATAAAAGTGCTTCGAATGATATAATAGCACCAATAAAATGCTTCAAATGATATAATAGCACAAATAAAGTGCTTCGAATAAGTATGAAATTATGACTAGATGATCAATAACAAGCTTCGAAGGTGGTATAAAAGACCAAATTCATCGTTCGAAGCATTAACAAATTAACAAAGCCTATGCAAATTAACAAGCTTCTAATAGGATGATGATGTGGCTAATAAAATTAGCAAATTGTTCTTATGAGTTCGAAGCACTTAGAACAGGGAATGACCTTTTAAAATGCATGAACTTGGCTAGGAAAAGCCTATGCATTTAAATAAGTGATTGAGAATGGCTTATCTTTTCAAATTGATATATGTTGGCTTTTTGGCTTTCGAAAGTTATTAATGTAATTGCGAGCGTGCTAGCAAGGCTCAATCAGTCCTTGCAGAAAATTAATTGCCAACCAATTATCAGACGATTGCGTTTTAGTTCTTTCAGCCTCAATGAAGAGAACTTTTACTGGTGGCTTGATTTAGGAGAATTAAGCAAAATAATAATTAAATGAAAAACAGTTGAAGTATTTCATTAACATGAAAAAACTTACAGTGATCCAAACTCAGCCTCGTAGAGGCTTACA